ATTCCCGGCCGCGGAATTTATCGGATACGTCTTTGATTATCACTATCATGCAAACTCGGTCTTATTCGATTGGCCTACGCAGTATCTCTTCAGCACTGATGACACTTCCACTCCTGGCAGGGGTATGCAGTACTTGGAATCGTATGGACAGAAGTCAGATGAGAAGGCTTTCATCGTGAACGTCTCCTTAGCTGAGATAACGACCAACTTCGCGAATAGAACATGGGAGCGTTCACCAATACTCATCCAGATTCTCTCGCCATGGTTATTCTAGTCATAATGGAGTAATAAAAATAGAACACACGCGCGCATCCTCAGAAGATATCAACCAGGTCCACACGCGCAGATAACGCATCAATACCGCGAATGTTAACACAGCTAACCTACCGCTATCGGACAAGCTCGCAACTTTCGTCCTCCAGAATGTAGCCACATCAGAAGGACCGGTCGGACCGTCTATCGGCCCCTCCCAAAAGTAACCGCCTGTTCACGATTGATAGGGCGAAGTTTCGCAAGGCCTCTCTCACGATCGAGTAAGGTATCCTCCTCGGGGCATCGTTTCACGCAGATTGGTACGAAGTATTTTGTTATCTCTGATATGAAACTGTTCCCACTGGACCCCGAGAAGAGCGCTGTAGGATCATTGAACTTGGTGGTGAGTTCATTGAGTAGATCATCGCCGAAACTCCCGCCAGTATCTCCGCTCGCCTGAATCAGTTCCGCTCATGCCCAGTGTGATATCAACTGAGGATTCTCTTACCGAAGAAATAATTGCATCAAAAACAGGTGTTGTGTTCAATGCGTAATATACATAGTCATAATCGGACAAGTCCAGGTGACTCATAGCCGGGTCCGTCGTGTTTCCGTCTGTCCCCTGACCCGATATTCCTAAAACCCATCCTCCAAGGGAAGCTATTCACCGAGTGCAAGTGCTCACCGCAGAAATTTCCTTGCCAATCTTGTCCGGCGATTAGCCTGTTAGGATTCCCATTCCCTTTTACCGCGACACCAAATACGACAACGAATCTAGACCGCGACCAAGTGACCCGAGACCGAGATACATCGCCGTCTACAGTGCTAGATGTGCTAAGAATAGGATGTACATCAGGACGT